TCCATGGCCCCCTCACCCACAGCGGGCAGTGGCACACTCTGAGGCGGGCTGCTGAAGTCGATACGCAGGGCACAGCACATCTTCTTGCCTGTACTCAGCACGTCCCGGATCATTATGCAGAAACCTCAGACTCCAGTTACTCTTAGTGAAGCCCTGGATGAGCCAGGCTTCCACTTGGCCATCACAAAGGGGAAAAACACCCATAGGCACTTCTCAACCAACCAGTAACCTTTTACAGGCACACCTTTTGGGAAGCCTTGGCCTGGAGAATTATGGAATGATTAGCTGTTTCAGGCACTGATCTAGGTGTTGGGGGAGGGTGGTGAATAAAGCCAGTAAGATACCTATTCTCCTAGAAATGACAATCCAAAGGAAGCTACAGGTTGGATGAGGTGGTGAAAGGAACTTAGAAGAACCAATGATGATTTTTAAGGCAAAAACCAAGACTGGATCCCTGTTTCAAGATGACACTGCTAGTGGTACAGATGAAGAGCTGAAAGGCAGGGCAGGGAGGTGGTAAGGGACTGATGAGAAAGCTGTTGTAGTGGTCAGATCATGAAGGCCTGCTTCAGATGATGAGGACTTTTAAAAAAGGTATAGGTAAGAGACTTACTTAAAGGTAGAAATCTTCACAGATTCTTATGTTAATGGTTTGATGACAAATCCTGAATGGTTTTGTTTTTTATTTTTCAATCTCTGGCATTTGTTCTCATATCGTGTTCTTTTTTTCTTAAAAGCCTGGATGGAACTGGAGGGTATTATGCTGAATGAAATAAGTCAATCAGAGAAAGACATGTATCATATGACCTCACTGATATGAGGAATTCTTAATCTCAGGAAACAAACTGAGGGTTGCTGGAATGGTGGGGGGTGGGAGGGATGGGGAGGCTGGGTGAAAGACACTGGGGAGGGTATGTGCTATGGTGAGTGCTGTGAATTGTGCAAGACTCTTGAATCACAGATCTCTACCTCTGTAACAAATAATACATTATATGTTAAAAAAAGAAGAAGAAGAAGAAGAAGAAGAAGAAGATAGCAGGAGGGGAAGAACGAAGGGGGGGAAATCGGAGGGGGAGACGAACCATTAAAGACTATGGACTCTGAGAAACAAACTGAGGGTTCTAGAGGGGAGGGGGGTGGGGGGATGGGTTAGCCTGGTGATGGGTATTAAAGAGGGCACGTATTGAATGGAGCACTGGGTGTTATACACAAACAATGAATCATGGAACACTACATCAAAAACTAATGAGGTAATGTATGGTGATTAACATAACATGATAAAATTTAAAAAAAAAGGGCAGAGAGAAGGATCCATTCTAGGGAAAGATCCTGGTTGCCAAGATTCTAGTTCATTTACGTCTTACTCTAGTTTTATAAAGGCTAGCACCTGAGTTGTTGGCTGTATCTATAATTAATAATAAGAAAAATAAAAACTTTAGCAACCAAAATACTGTCGTTCTGTTCAGAAAAAGTAAGTACTTTCAAATGCCGGGGGAAACGCATTCAGAAAGCACTGGCATGCACATTTCTATCTTTTGAAAGGACTAGCATACACAGTATCCAGAGTCGCTCACTGTGACAAAATGATCACATGCATCCCTAATACCGTAATTCTGTTAACGTTTAGAACGCCAACCGCGGAGCCTTCACCCTTTAAATTTTTTTTTTTAATCCTCTTCCGATAGTCTCTTAGGAAGGCAGTATTGGATAATAATAAAGAACGTGAGAGCTCTACAAACAGACAGAAGTAGGCCAAGATTTAACTTTGTCACTCTGGGAAAGTGACTTTACTTTTCTGTGGCTACTTTCCCATCTGTAAAATGAGAATTGAAAGTATCTATCCTGTAGGGTTATTGTGAAGACTGACTGAGATAATTAACGTTCCCCAAATGCAGAGCTCGGGGGTAAGCACACAGCTAATATGCAATAAATGGAAGGAGAAAAGAAGAGAAACAGATTCTTTACCTCCTCTTCCATTTTGTTCACACAGCTTTTCCCATGTTCAATTCTTTCTATTTCCCTTTTATGAATCCTGTTTATCCACACCAAGGCCTAGTTCAAATGCCAAATTCCCTGTGAAAACTTGACCAGTAAAAGCAGCCACTTAAATATATTATAGCCGTGCATCAATAATAACTGTTAACACGCATCCGGTGCTTATTGTGTTTGTGGCAGCAGTGTTCTTAGTGGCCATGTGCATTAACACATCTAATCCTCCTAACGCCCCGTTAGGTAGGTACTGGTATTATTCTGTTTCGTAAATGAGGAGTATGAGACAGAAAGCAGTCTGCCCAGAACCACACAGTAGCTGATGGGCCGGGCTCTGAACCCTGCAGCCTGGCTCCAGAGCCCGTTCTCACCCATGCCACAGGCCTCCTCTGTCAAGTAAGATGAGTAATAATTGCAGACACCTTTGGAGAGCTGACAGTTTTATATTTAGTACAGCTGGAGATGTTTTCTACATAAGCTAAAATCATTCATGATAGATAGCTTTATTTACCTTCCACAGAAAATGCCTCTATAGTTCAGTTTCTCAGTCTACACAAAATAAAGGCAGGAGGACACAGTTATGCAAACAACTTGGTTTTATCATTTTTAGACTGCTAACTTCAGTCCAATTTTTTAGTTCACATGTCTAAAATTCTACCTCTCTTCCTCATAAGGTCTGGGAGATAATGGAGATGGATAATTTTATCCTCATATGACCCAAGAGATGGAGAATGCCTGATCACCTACTATAATAGACTGTCAAAACTGCCTGCTTTCTAATACTCTGTGAAAACATAATACAGTCATCAGGAATTATCATCTAATATTCTTGCCAATGTATATTTGCAGGTTTTGATTTTACACACACACACACACACACACACACACACCATGTCACAGATATTTCTTGTAGATAAAAGACACTGATATTCTTCTTCAAACTACGGCAGGCTCAGGGGTATGGAACTCCATCTTATTACCAAACAAACCAACCCTGCAAATATGACCATTCTTCATGTGGGAGACAGAAAGTTACTATTTTCCCTTTTTAATCAAACTTTATAATACAGAATCAAGGGTAAGAATAAAACATACCTGCCCATGGGACAGCGTTTGGGTTATGTAGAAAATTATAAGCTCTTGAAAGAGAAAGGCTTAAAAGGAAACTACTGTTCCTCCTTTAATTACAGCAGTGCTATTTTTTTTTTAAATATTTTATTTATTTATTTGACAGAGAGAGAGAGACACAGTGAGAGAGGAAACACAAGCAGGGGGAGTGGGAAAGGGAGAAGCAGGCTTCCCGCAGAGCAGGGAGCCCGACGCGGGGCTCAATCCCAGGACCCTGGGACCATGACCTGAGCCGAAGGCAGACGCTTAACGACTGAGCCACGCAGGCGCCCCTACAGCAGTGCTATTTTATTTACCTGTTCTCTCAATGCATTTTGGGGGCTTTAAGATTCAGAACATGTTAGAACATCAACAATGAACTTCATGTGCTAGTTTTCTTAGGAATGGCCACCCCATCTCCCAAATATAGTAAAAAGGTGAATGAGTCAAAATAAACAAAAAATCGATGTTTCTATTTCCTTTAACAATTTTTCAAAATTAAGAATTAATGAAATCTGCTCACTTGAGAGGAGAAATACAAGATCAAGTACTCTTAAATTCATCTCTAAATGGGTTTCTATTCAAAATAAGACATGCTGCTGTCATGGTGGCTTATCACTGGCCATGGGTACATCCTGAGGTCTCAGTGCTCTCAAGTGGCAGGAGCAGAGCTGTCAAGACAAGTCTTACTGGTCAGATATGGTCCGACATATGGCCTTCAAATTGGCTTAAGTTTAGCCCAGGGGTATGGCTGGGCGGCAAAAGAGCACAGGAAAGGCCAAATAGCAGAGACAACACAGTATATGCTACACAAGGGGTCAGGCACTCAATCATGCAGGTAAACAGACTCCGAACTTAAGAGTCACTCAACAGACACGCACATCACTTACACCCACAACACACTACGCCTGTCTTATAGTGGCATTTAATGTATATGGTAACCGTTTGTTTACTTGTCTGTTTCCATACTAAGAGAGGGCCTGTCTGATTCATCTCAATTTCCTCAATCCAGGGGTAAGTATAAAAAAGCATAGATGTAAAATAAATAAGCAACAGCAAATGTAAAGCAAACTGATGTCAGTCTTTTCCCTGGTTCCATATTTGGCCTCAAGAATCTCTCATCCTGCAACTGGGGGATAATAAAAACCAGGCTTATTTTAAATTTTATTTTATGTGTTTACATGTGACCCATTTAGCCTTTCTGGATCTAAACTGCCTCCTCTATGAAAGGAATTAAGATTAAATAATTCTTAAGGTCCATTCAGCTCAACAATTCCATGATTCTATGATGAAATCAAGATCTGTTAATATTTATCAAATGCTTCCATGTGGTAATTATGCTCATACCTGAAACTAAAGTTGTGCTCTTTACAGCTGCTAGTCAACTGCCACACGTACTTATAAAAGAAAAAAAAATCCAGAAAACACTATTTTTGAAAATACATACAAGTGCATAAAAAATCTTAGTGAAATTTAAAAGATTTAAATAGTATTTGCTTTAGATAACACAGACTTGGCTTTGATAGAATCTGGTTAGGATTTTTATATCAGGAAAAATAAGTAGTTTAATGTTTCCTGGGCAACGAGAAATCCAAGTGACGCTAATGTATATAGCTGACTCAGCTACATTAATGTTTCCAAAGGTCCACGGAACATTTCCATCCAATATACATGCCACTTTCTTTCTTAAAATCCTCCCGTGGCTTCCCGCTGCACTCAGAATAAAATCCAATCTCCTTACTGTGGCCTGTAACACACTATACACACTGCCCTGACTTTTCTCTTCTCCAGCAGCATCTCCAGGCTTCTCTCTCAGCAACTCCAATGTGCCAACTCTTCCCCACTTTAGAGGCTGTGCACTCACTCTTCTCTCTGCCAGACACGTTTCCATGTAGATCACATACCTGGTTCCTTCGAATCCTTCTGGGGTTTCTACTGAAACACCACTCCCTCCAATAGGTCTTCCCCGCCGGCCTTCTCAGAAGTGGGCTCCCCGCCCCAGGAATTCTTTGTCACATCTCCTTCATTTTCTTCATAGCTCTTATCACAACCTGAAATTATTTGGTTTGTTTATTCCTTTACTTGTTTGCGGCCTGCCTCTCCTGTCATAACCTGCCAGGAAAGAAGCTTTAAAAGAGCAGGAACCTTACTTATCTTTTTTACTCCTATAATTCCAGAGCTTGGAACAGGGCTTTTGTTTTTTTTGTGGAGAAAGTGACAAAATTATTGCTTCAAAACGGGAATAGTAATCCTGCCTGAATTTCCAGCCTGCTGGCGTAGGCTACAGACTTTGGACTCAGGACCGCAACATCAACTCTCTTGCCTGAGGTTCCAGCCTGCTGGCCTAGCCTGTGGATTTTGGACTTGCTAACTCCCACAATCGTGTGATCTGATTTCTTAAAATCTCTCACTCTACACACACACACACACACACACACACACACACACACACACACACACACACACACATCCCTACACCTACCATATGATTGGTTCATCCACTCCACTCTTCGGTATTTACCCAAGAGAAATGAGGGCATACAACCATCCAAAGACATGTATGTGGATGTTCATGGCAGTTCTATTTTTAAGTCAAAAACTAGAAATAACCCGGTATCGATTGAGAGGTGAATGGACACACAAACTCCAGTATATCCATACAACGGAATTCTACTTAGCAATAAAAAAGGAATAAACTATCGATGCATGGTACAACATGGATAAATCTCAAAATAATCATGCTGGGGAAAGAAGGTAGACCAAAAAAGAGTATAAACTTTATTTTAGGACATGCCAACGAATATAAGTGAAGGACAACAAATAGTGGTTGCCTGGAGAGAAATGGGGGACATTACTAAGAGACTTCTGGGGGTGATGGATATGTTCAGTATCTTGAATGTGATTTTTTTTTAAGATTTTAAGATTTTAAATTTTTTTTAAGATAATTAAGATCACAAGCAGACATAGCAGCAAGCAGAGGGAGAGGGAGAGAAGCAGGCTCCCCACTGAGCAGGGAGCCTACTGTGGGACTTGATCCCAGGACCCTGGGATCAGGACCTGAGCTGAAGGCAGACCGACTGAGCCACCCAGGCATCCCAATGGTGATGGTTTTATAGGCATACATATATGTCAAGGCTTATCAAACTGTACATTTTCAGTATGTGCAATTTACTGTGTTAACAATTTATATCTCAATAAAGTTGTTTTAAAAAGGTAGACATTTGTTAGAAGCCCTAAGGAAAACTTTAAAGACTTAAAGAATAACAAAGGCAGGTTTCCTTACTTGGGATCAATTGTCTACAGATAACCTAAAAGACTGCTTCATTCCCATCTTGAGTCAGCCTTTTTAAACAAGAATGATCTTTAATCTGGGAAGGGTAAAAAAGGATTAAGGGAAAAAAAAAAGAAAAAAAGTAACTGAAGCCCAAAATAAAAAGGAGACAGAAAAAGAAGAAGGAATTGCTTTAAATTCGTATTTATAGATCAAGAAAAATCGTATCCTAAGACATTAAATATATCTCCAAGTTTGGTAACTTCTAAGGAATCATAAAGAAATACCATGAAGATGCATGTAGAATTCATGAAAATTCTAGAACAGATTTTTAAAAAAAATATGATAAATAAGTAGCCAGCTTCTGTAACATATTTGCTCCTGGTCCTCAACCCTTTCCAATGATTCCTTCTTGGATTCCCTTCTGGGTTCTCGTCCCACCTGTCCCTTATATCCTGGCACTCTGCAGATCCTTGTTTGACTTCCATTCTCATCCCACAACAGGGCTTATAACCTCCCAGGGGAATCACGATTCCCTTTGAGAATGTGATGAACGCTACACCCCACAACAATGTATATTCACATAAAATTTTACATATAATTATTTCAAGGATTTCAAATACTCCCCTGAACCTTGGGCATATATTCCTTAGCTTCTCACGGTGAGGAAATTCTTCGCAGAATCCCAGCCTGGGCTTTGTCTCTCTAATATCCCCATGCAAAGTGAGATGTACGCATAGCTGTGGTAACGGGAAATCTGAATGCTCACAAACATAACTGACATGGAACCTAGGACCTCGTATTTTTCTGGATTTTTCTGATACAGTTCAACTAGGTAGATTCTTAGGTTACCTAGTGAATGCTGATTAATAAATTTATGAAAGAAGTTTCTGCTGACTTTCTGTAGAAGCCCATCCTCTTACACTTTTTTTTTTTTTTTTTTTTTTACAAAAGGTGATTTGAATGAGGATTTAGAAAACCATGCTGATCAAATTTTGAATGATAAGAAGTTTTAACAGTGAGGAGCTGGATCACAGACCCAGTCAACACACCGACTGATTCAGCCTAGGGGTGAGGTGAAGGTCAGCAGAGTCCCAACTTCAAAGTCCTTTCCATACGTATATTCTCCTTTTCCCCAACTACCAATAACCTGTGGACACTGAATGCATTCACCAAAACTGCACTCTCCTTGAGGACAAGGCCTACATGTTCTTCCGTGTCTTATCTAGTACCTCGAATGATGTTTAGCATCACATTGTGTTTGGGATGTATTATGTTAGTGTTAACAAATGACTCCAAAATCATGGTGCCTACAACACAAGGGTTTATTTCTCAGTTATGTTAATAATTTCTGTCATGGATCGGCTTCAGCTCTGCTCCATCATTCTGGGACCCAATCTGAAGGTGCCATCATTCTGGGACTGGCTCTAGCTAAGGGATACTGGTTCCATGACAGGAAAAAAAGCCACTGGCAAAACCACAAGATGGAATTTAAAACATCTGCTCAAACAAGGAACATGTCACTTCCTCTCACATTTTATTGGTCAAGGAAAGCCAAGTGTCCAAACCTGATGTCAACAAAGGGGAAATATAATCCTCCTACAGAGGGGACCCTCGTAAAGAAAGGCAACAAATTCTTTTTAACAATAGAGCAATCCACCACAGTGCCTTACCAATACAAAGTGCTCAGCAACTGGCAGTAATTATTTATGTGCCAGGCCACAAACACCAGCGGGCAGAGATTGTCCTCTGTCTGGTTCACTGATGCACCAGCACCAGAGTGCTGGCCACATAGTAAAGGGCATGTTAAATGCTTACTAAGTGAGCAGTGATAAGAAGATGAGCGTGGGATCTGTTATCAAAAAACCAGTAACACAGTCCCACATCTGCCAATTCTTGATTTAGTGGAAAGTCATTCTCTCTTCTGATTCTTGGGGGTTGTTGTGAAGATTAAATTAAAATATATGTGAAAGCACCATGAAAACTGTGCTGTTTTATAGAAATGTTAGCTCAAATCTCCAGATAGTCAAATGGGATGAAATCTGAAAAAGACAAATTCATTTAAACTTTTATGGTAATGCCAAGGCCTCATATCCTGCATTTACTTTCAAAGATCCAACTGGCAAATAAAGAATGAGAAAGATTAGACTTAAAGCAGCCCACGTGAGGAGACAAGGTTTTAGTTGACCGGAAGCTCAATATGATCAAAGGGTAATGTGGCTGCCAAAAAATGTAATGCAAATTTCAGCCTGCATTAATAGAAGTACAGTATCCAAATAATAGTTTCATTGTATTCAGCGATGGCCAGATCACATCTGAAGCAGTTGGTTCAGTTCTGGCCACTGTATTTGAAGAGGTATACTGATGACCAGACTTTGTCATGAGTTAGCGATGTGGATGGAGAAAGTTCTGTAAACCATGTCATGTGCATATCTTTTGAGAATTAGCTTTTTTCCCCTCATTGTGGAAAAAAAAAATGATTCAAGTAGGATTTAATAGTTGTTTTCCAATACTTGAAGATTTATTGTAAGAATTTATTGTGTGTTTCACATACATAGCCCTAGAATGCCAAGGATCAGTAAGTGAAAATTAGATGAGAAATAGACTGAGATCAATGAGAAGTTCTTTCCAACAATTAGAAACCTTCTAAAACAAGGAAGGGCGGAGGACAGCATGGGGGAGGATGCTATTGAGAAGAAAGAACTGGGAAAGTCATACAAACCCATCACACTCCTCTACGTAACCCAGCATATCTGAGGCATTTGAAAACGCCCAAATAGTATTTCTCTTTTCTGACATAATAATAATAATATTAATACTAATAGTGACAATGAGGAACAAGAACTGAGGTAGGAAGTAAAACAAGAAGTTGTTTGGCCTAACAAACACAGAAAGGCATGCTGTTGAAGGGAAATGAAATTTCAAGGCCAGATAACATTAAACACGAACACAGTGTCCTGGTTTGTACAGAGGAAATAGGCTTAGTCAAAATTGTATTTATTCTAGAAGTTGTTTTTCTTAGCATGACCTACCTGCTATAATTTTCAGGGAGGTGCAAAAAATATTTTAAAAGTTCCTCCAATGGCACTTAAGCAAAAATTGGCTAATATCAGACTAGTGTTCTGATTACAAGATGACACTAAGTGTATCGATCAATTCGTATAAGCACTCACATTTCTCATGGCAAACTGTCACACTGCACACCACTGGCATTTTAAAAATGGTCCTTGCGCTTACTTTGTTTCCTCATTCTCTTCAAAATCCAGCACTTTTCCACTCTCATTCCAGCGTTCATTCCCACGTCTTCCCTTCACCCTCTGGTCTGGCTAGCCGGTCATTAAGCAGTATATAAAGACGAATGCCTGATTTATCTTTACACCATAGTTCCTCATGTGCAAGTCACCCACAGTTAGCAGCGAACACTCAACACTGCTTGTTAAATTCCTTCCTTTAATGAAACAGTTTTTAAAAGTTACCCATTATTGTCTTGTGACACGGAAGAAAGTAAGTCAAAGGAGGCTGTAAGGACAAGCTGGTTATTATTTGTTATAAGAATAACCCACTCTTTACAAAGTAGTATCTTGGAATACAATTTTCTTCTTCCCTTAACATTTTCTTTGCATCCTAAATGGGCCATTTAACAGGATTTTATAGTGCACAGGATTTTCATAGAACACAGTACTGACACAAATGACTGACATCCTACTGATTTCCCTCACTGTAGGAAGTAAATGTAAAGAATGAGAAAAAAACAGGTTCACTGACTAATTAAAGTAAATGTGTATGTACCTTTCTGGAATAAATGTAAATCCGGATTTTAAACAATCTATTATTCCAAGCCAAAATAGTAAAGGAAAGTGTAAAAAAGGAAAAAAGCTGAACACATATCCTCTACTAAAGGAGTGTGAAACTTTAGGACTTATTTGGTACAGGTTAAGGCTTATTTAAGAACTTGTCACTGGATTCTTATGCTTGTTATTTCTCTCCCTCCTCTCTTGTGGGCACTACCAAGAATTGCACAGGTCATGGGAACATAATGCTCTGCTGCAGAAATCAGGAGAACATAGTTTCAAATCTCCCATGTCCATCCGTCTGACAGAAACCGTCTACACTCCACTGGGAGACCAGAGAATGAGTCAGTAAGGGGATAAAACAGTTGCTAGGTGAAAGATATAGCTAACTAAAAATGTTGTTTCTTTTCAATTAGATACTCACATATTAGAGCAATTATTTTCAAATGATGCACAACAAACATTCATTTGTTTAAACAAGAAGCCACTAGAAATCAAGTAGAGCTAACATTTATTGAGTGTTTTCTGGGTGGTAGGCATTCCCTTGCGTGCTCAACATACATTAGCTCACATATATACTTCATCATGGCCATATAAAGCAGTATTCTCAATATCCTCATTTTATAGATAAGAAAAAGGAGGCACAGAATGGTTAAGTAACTTGCAGAAGATCACACAGTATTGATAGGCAGGAAAGGGATATAAATTTAGGCAGGGCAGCTCCAGGGCCCACTTTTAACCTCTATGAGCGGGCATCAATATATTATATACTTTGACATATGAAGGTCTTGAATCTATTCGCTTTAGTCACATTTGAAGAAATTTTTTCATGGGCAATCAGGACTGTATAAAATTATAAAATCTTATTTATTTATTTAGATTTTTATTTACTTGACAAAGAGAGAGAGAGAGAGAGTATGAGCAGGGGGAGCAGCAGGCAGAGGGAGAAGCAGGCTCCCCGATGAGCAGGGAGCCTGATACGGGACTGAGACTCCAGGATCATGACCTGAGCCGAAGGCAGTCGCTTAACCAACTGAGCCATCCAGGCATTGTAAAATTTATAAAATTTATAAAATCATTGTTACAATGCTTTCACAACCAACTTTTAGGATTAGATAACTAAATCCAATACAATGCTTCATTTAAGACACTAGAACTTAATCTCATCTTTTGGCTTTATTATATACTCCATGATAAGTGCAACTGGGTGCCTTTGACATACTTAGCCTGACACTACGTCATTAAAAATACTTTGCACAGACTAGATCTGGGATGTTTTATTCACATGAGTGTGCATTAAACTAATTCTACCACTTCTCAAATTCTAAATGTAATTATTCAACAGGCATTTGAATACTTAATGAACACTAAGTAGTACAGATACAAAGATAAAATTAGATGGGCTCTGTTCTCAAGGGAGCCCACAGTTACAAAACAATGAAATAAATGCTTCTTTGGAGCTGTGACCAAATTCCAAGGGAGCAGAATCCTGCCTAGCATGGTAAGAATGATGGCAGCTCCCTGTGCAAAGGCATGGAGATGTAAGAGAACATTTTCCTCTCAGGGAATATCAAGCAATTTAAGTAGGACTAGAATGAAGGGTTTACATTGAAAGCGAGAGAAAGAGAAGAGATGAAGAATGAAACTGGCGCTAGATAAAGAAAAGTCTTCAAAATCATAACAAAAGGACCCAACCACTGTAAGGATTTAAGTAGATCAGTGATAAGATCAAATCTGCTAACAATAGTGGTTATCACACTTTTTAAACAATAGAACCCTGCTCTCAAAAGAAACCTATGTAAACTTCCATACTTAAAATTGATGAAATTAAGACTGCACTGGTTGAAATTGGAATGAACCTGCTTGACCTCCTCCAGAACCTCTTACAGAATAGATTCAAAACCACTGCTTTAGAGAGAAAAATTAATATATCTATACAATTATGTTCTTTTAAAAAAAGATTTATTTACCCATTTGAGAGAGAGAGTGTGAGTGTAAGAGTGGGGGACGGAGGGGGAGAGGGAGGGAGAGAATCTCAAGCAGACACCACAGATTGAGGAGCCCGAAGTGGGACTCGATCTCACGACCCTGAGATCATGACCTGAGCCAAAACCAAGAGTTGGACGCTCAACCAACTGAGCCACCCAGGAGCCCTTACAATTATGTTCTATTTACCTCATGCCTCTCCCAATGTGATTCTAACTTCTCAAGGATTCATTCTTGTAATTTCTCTTCAATTATGGAGCTAGGCATACATAAACTAAGCGAACAGTACCAGACCTTAAAAAAATCAATGACAAACTGTTATAATACAGAAAAAATAAGATAAAGATTATCAGCCTGTTCATCCTTCAGTTAAACTATAATTTAAGTGACCACATTGTCTAACCTAAAAGTTAGGATTTATGGCTGGACACATACTAACTAGTGTATTTATGGCCACAGGATATTCAAAATTGGTACAGTGTTGGGAAATATAGAATATATGATTATAATTGATATAATGTAATTTTTTGAAGATTGGTAATCTTGAATTTTCTTAACAATGAATTTGAATCTGAAAATCCTTCCCCACTTATCACTTGAGCATCTGTTCTCCCACCTTATAAAATGTGGAGCTATACATGGGATCGCTGAAAATGATCATCAGTGTAGAAGTGCTTATCTTCCTCAGCCATCAACAATAATATATAAACTGATTAAAGATTCCCATATGCTTCTCCTGGCAGTTTGCTACTCTTGACTCTTCACAGTCAGAAGTGCTAATAAAAAAGCAAGGTTACAATCTGAAGGAAAAAGTATATAATGATTAATTTAACACGTTTTATATTAAAACAAGTATATTCCCTTTATACAACTAATTTAACCATACCATGCTTCTCTTTACCATTATCATCTCCATTCCTTGCAGTAATGTTCTCGGCAGGGTGGGAAGGGGGGTACATAACCACTTAAATCATCTCAAAAGTGTTTAAGTGCTTTCCCCTTTATAAATTGTAGACTGATTAAAAACAGATGTTCAGAACAGTATTTAACATATATTAAGAGTTACAGAACAATCTCACTTTTCTCCATCAGATAAGACACTAGGAAAAAAAAAAACTACCACCACTCTGGGCCACTCTATCATGCATTAAAATTTCCTCCATACTAAGTGGCTAAAGGCCAACTATTGACAATTATTAAGAGGAGGAAGAGGGGAAAGAAGCATAGGCTATAAATTAAATCCTTCAATACATCATCTGACCAATGTGTATATTTACTTACAGGCATGGTTAAGAAAGGGTCCTTAAACAGACACAATATAAATGTCTTTATAAGGGAAAAACATTTCCATATGATATTGTAAACTCAGTCCAACGTTGATCATTTCTGGGCACAGTCTACACTACCTAAATTCGCCAAAATTGCTAACTATTCTCCTATAAATTTGTTTAGGATAAAGACAACTCTCTGATTATAGCAAATGTAAATTACATCACATGCTCCAATTAAAGTAGTGCATTTTATGAAAAGAACTTAATAAATCACTCATTTCCACTTCTTTCAAATATAAAAGTGTGAAGACTCCAAAATAGTCATTAAGAACAAAGTGCCTTTTTTTAAAGAAAAGCTTTTTAAAAAAATAAAATACTTAAAAGCAAGCCTATAAAAACACACAAAAAATCCTCATATGTAAGATAACAATCAAAACAATACCTGATATCAAACACTTAACTATATATTCAATTAGAAGGTTTCACTGTAAAATTTTCATCCTCTGCCCATTTAAGGGCAAGTTGTTTTGAAAAATATTCCATAGACAGATATTTTTAAATGAGACTCTACACCTACTATTCTGATTTTAAAAATACATCAAATAAAGTTAGAACAAATGTTAATAACAGTTAGAAATATTAAATTACACATACTGTATTTACCTGTCCCTGCAGTAATATAAAAATGTTTATAAAATACCTTAAGATAAATTTATATTTTCCTCTAGTTTGTGAAAATTGCAATAACCTTTCTATTTATTTTTTATTATTCTGTTCAATTAGCCAACATACAGTAAGTACATCATTAGAACCTTTCTATTTAGTAATATCTTGTGATTAAAGCATATTCAGTAAGTGAAATTCAAACACTCTCCCAGATGGAACAGCTGTGAGAAGATACACAGAGCAGTTTTTACAAGAGAGCCTTCTATTGATGGTGTAGACACCATCCAACACTAAAAACTAGCATGACTGGAGTCCAGAAGATAGAAACAAGCAAGAGTGAAAGAAAATCCTTTAAGAAGAATGAGGAAAATACAATTCACAGGAGGATCTATAACTCTGAACTCTGCCTTTTTGGTTTTTCAAACTTTTGCCTAAATTTCTATAGATTACAAGGTCCAAACTTCTAAAAATCCCATATAGAAGATTTACATATATGTATCAGTATTAGGTAATATTTTATGCTTAAGAAGTCTAGCAAATATTATTTAAAAACCCAACTTTAAAGTATGATGTACTACTAATTGTATTTTATAGAAAAGAAAACTGGGAACAGAAAAATTGAATGACATTTTTAAAGTGATACTGAGTTAAATAATGAAACTGATAACATAAATCATCCTTATGTTCTAATTAAAATTTATTATTATTATTATTATTATTATTATTATTATTATTATTATTAGAGAGTGAGAGGGCAGAGGGGCAGAAGGAGAGGGAGAGAGAGAATCTCAAGCAGGCCCCAGGCCCAGCACGGTAGGGCTCCATCTACCGGAGATCATGACTTCACACGAAATCGAGTCCAATGCTCAACCGACTGAGCCACTCAGACACCCCTTGGCACAAATATTTTCAAGCCAAAATAGTCTACTTAACTTTTTTGCATGTATTTAAAATTTTTTTTAATTACATGCCCTCATTACTAATATATCCAAGTAATAAGGTTTTTTTTTTTTAACCTCACCATGCTCTAAAATTAGCAATCCTTTGAGACAATGCCTAGGAATTTTTTTTAAAAAACTGAAAAAATTTCTTTTAATATCACATCTTCAATCTTCATTTTTACTCACTTGTTCAACAGAGGAATTAAGAGCCTGTACTAAGAAATCAGTGGCATTATTCAAGCTGTTCCCTCAATTTTTATAATATTCAATTATTCTAAGAGGAATAAAACTGTGCCCATTATCCCAAAGTTGGGCTCTCAACCCATATTCAGCAGAATAATTTCTTGCTTTCTGTCTAATGCACAAAAACAAAACAAAAACTATTAAAGCACTCAAACACTTTGATGCTTTGAACACTTTTACTCCCGTATGCTTAGCTCTTTTCCTTTAAATTCCATCTCTAAAAATAAGACCTCTCTAAAACTGGGGAGAAGTGTCACTCTTATGAAGCCAGACATGAATAGTATAAGGCAAAGTAAATCTGATTAATTATCCATAATAAAGTTTGTGCCCAGTTCCTTCCTTTACCCTGTACTCCAACATAAAGTTTGAACTAACCCATAAGCAAGTTCTACTTTTATTAACTAACATTCCTTTTTTGTTTTTACATCGCCCGAGCAAGATGATTTCAGAATGAAAACTCTTGAAGTACCCCATTCAATATCTCCTGCGATTCCAAATAAACCCAACTGCACTAACAAAAAGAAAAAAAAAAAAAAGCTCCCCGGAAAGTTTAAAGAGTACATAGTCCTTCTTTTATCAAAACAGAATTTTTCACAAGTGACCCAAAGAGAATTACAGCTTAGGAAAATCAAGCCTTTAATTCTGAGGAATAATTTGCACGTAGAGAAAAATTCAAGGTAATGGTTTTCACTGCATGTGGACTTTAGACCAAATCTATTTATTTTTATTTTGCTGAAGTCTGGGTATAACCACTTGTCGGCCTATGCTACGGGACCACTATCCTAACAGTATCTTACAACAAGGTGTTTTTGATACCTTAGTAGCTACACTACCTTGGATGGGCTTCCACACAAACCTGACCCTAACATTTTGGCATTTTAATTAGGTTTCAATGTACTCTTTAAATGGCATAGCACAAATCAGATGACAAGTTTTCTAATCAGTTAACACATTAATAGGTAGCATACAGCAGCATAAACTTGAATTTAAGAAGCCCATAAATATTTTGTCCCCACTTTTGAGAAAGGGACAATTCAAGAAACATACTGATAAGTCTTACATTATGCCAAAAACCTATTCCTAAATTGCTGTATGCCAAACGATTTTTTATAAATCAAGTCATGTTTGGTAAGTACCACGTAAAAGGGATTATTTAAAGGCAACTTTTAGTGAATCCTTTTTGTAAAATATAGAATTCTCATGTAACTAACCACTACTTAATTTGTTTTGTAATCTTATACTCGTAAATATCAAATTTCTTAGAGCACAGCTGCTTTCCCAGGCCAAATTGATCCCAGTATTACTGCCCTTCTTATTTCCCAAGCTTTAAAAATGTCACCCAAAAAGCCATTTGTCAGTATAGACTATACAAGCAATACTAGGAAAGGTGAAAAAGGAAGTTTAGTGATTTTTTTTAATGTTAAAATAGAAAGGTATGTATTCTCCAAAAAGAAATCAATGACTTATTTTTGGCAGTGAGCACAATAAATTCCCAATAAAAATGATTTTAAAAAATCAAGATACGCACATCTCAAATCTCTCTCCCATGTCTTTATCACTTGGTGGAAATTCAAGAAGTTTATCTCCCTGAACACATGACCTCCATGATGCTACCAAGGTCAATGAGACCTACAGGAGGGGCATATGCTGAGTAAGTGCTGATTTGCCCAAACCTACAGTTCCCTTTAAAAACAGAGAAGGAAGGATGAAAAAAAATATTTATATATTACAGGAAATGATGTTTTAGGTTGTAACATTCAAATAGCCCATTACAGGATTGTTTACAGACATATGTCAGCAACAGCCAATAGGAGCAAGACCTCAAAAGGGCATCAGAGCAGTCAGGTACAAAAATTACTGCACAGAAAGAATTAACAAGATCCCAAACTGAATAATCCTCCTTTATATCTCATACTGAAACTCTTCGGTACTTTGGGTACATGCCACAATCACTCCATTTTGAAGTGAGGGTTTTCTGTTGACAGAACTTTCTGAAAATGACAAATAACAGAAGATCCATAATCAACAGAAGAAGCTCCCACGTGTCAGAAATGCTCGAGTAAGGAGCAAGTTTGCATATGCTGGGCCTGCCAGTTAACACTGAACTCACCAGGTGTCCTGGTTGTTCTCTTACCCTTCACAGAAGACTCCTTCAGACATCTCCTCAGCTGTCACAATCCTGCCCCTTTCACAAACCACAGGTTTTCTTGGATGAGATTTAAATTTTAAAACACATTACCCACTTGGTATAATCTGCTTAAGACTCAAAAAATCCTTATCAATTTGAAGTTATTATATGTGAAGTATCCAAGGAACTTCCAAATATGAAAAAAAGACCTGTCAGAGCTAGCGCCTGATAATTTAGAAGTGACTTAGTGGGGCGCCTGGGTGGCTCAGTTGGTAGAGCGACTGCCTTCGGCTCAGGTCATGATCCTGGAGTCCCGGGATCGAGTCCCTGGATCGAGTCCCGCATCGGGCTCCCTGCTCGGCGGGGAGCCTGCTTCTGCCTCTGACCCTCCCCCCTCTCATGTGCTCTCTCTCTCTCATTCTCTCTGTCTCAAATAAATAAATAAAATCTTTAAAAAATAAATAAATAAAAAATAAAAGTGACTTAGTGGGGCGCCTGGGTGGCTCAGTTGGTAGAGCGACTGCCTTCGGCTCAGGTCATGATCCTGGAGTCCCGGGATCGAGTCCCGCGTCGGGCTCCCTGCTCGGCGGGGAGTCTGCTTCTCCCTCTGACCCTCCCCCCTCTCATGTGCTCTCTCTCATTCTCTCTCTCTCAAATAAATAAATAAAATCTTAAAAAAAATAAAAAAATAAAAAATAAAAGTGACTTAGTGGAGAGCAGTTTAACTGGATCACTCATTTTAACGTTCGGTAAGTGCAGTATAATAGCGGAAAATTAAAGAGGAAAAAACCCAGCAGAACCACTGGCTATTCACCATCAGCAAGGACTGGGCTGTTAGCAGCCTTCCAAGTTACTCAGGGAAGCTCCTGATTGGTGGGTGGCACTGGGTCAGTGTGATTACTTAACCCTGGCAGTTAGAACCGAACTCCACTCTGATGAGCCCCAAAGCTTATTACAAAAACGGGACTGCCTGAGCGTATCAAGTACTACCGTGTCGTCCTGTTTTTCTCCCACGGAACACGGAGCCTGACACCTGAAACTCATCCGACAGACCTTACCGCGTTTCGGTGCTTCAGAGTTTTGTACTTATTATTTTAAAAGCCCACTGGGCACAGACTCAGTTGGGGGAGGTAACGTGAAAGATTTACCCATTTCCTGCATACCCAGGGAAGAACTCATGACCATGCAAGCAGTTCCCTCTCTCCCGAATAACTTTTTTATCATTTGGTCCTAAAATAACCGTAAGAAACAAACACCAAACACTGGCATGGCAACGTCCCCACATCATGCCCTAGTGCTACCCACAGGCGGATTCGTTCATCTCTGGTCCCCATCCAGACGGGTCCTCCCGGTCCCTCTCCCTCCCGTCCGGTCCTGCCTGGCTTCCCCGAGTTTGGCTGTAAACCCGCCACCTTCGCTGGCCGGGGCAAAAGCACAGCCCCTCGTCCCAAGGGCAGAGTTTCTCCCAACTGCGCGAGGACCGCGTCCGGAAAGCTTCCGGCGGACACCCCTCTCCCCCGCCCCCCGCGCACCTTGCCCTGCCCCTCGACCCCTCCCCGCACTTTACCAAGCCCCAGTGAGGGGCCCACCTGCCTCCAGTCGCCCGACCCACGCCCGGGTCGCCCTGTCAACTCCTACCCGGCGGCTGCGCTCCCCTGGTGCCGAACCCCCCACCAGCCTGGGACCAGACCCCGAGGGGCAGCGGCGTCAAAAAAAAAAAAAAAAAAGGCCCCCAACAGGCTGACCCTGCGACGCCCCCCAGAGGCCGGGTCCCGAGCGCCTGTCAGCGTCCCCGGAAGGGGTCAGGCAGGGGGCTGAGAGCTCCCCTGTCCTCTCCTGACGCCCTTTCCCCCACTGCCGCCGCACTCACCTGAGGGGCTCTCGTCGAGGCGCCGGGCGAAGGCACCGGGGGTCGCGCGAGGAGGCCGACCGCCCGCCGCGGCCCCCACCCGCCCGCGCCCGCGCCCGCGCCCGGCCGGCGCGCGCCCCAGGCCCGACGCGCGCCCGGAGCGCCGTGGGGAGGGGGCGCGGGGACGCGCGAGAGCCGAGGGGGAGGAGGGCCCGGGGGGCGGGGGCAGGGGGCGCGGTGAGAGCAGCGGCTCGGCGGCGTCGGCAGAAAGAAAGCAGCCTCGGCCGCGTCCGTCGTGGCGCGCGGCGGCGGCGGCGGCTCCCTCGGGCCTCCCCGCTCCCTCGCCTTTAGTTTGACCTTTCCCTCCAGTGTGTCTGAGGGAGAGCGGCGGTGCGCGCGCGTGTGCATGTCTCTGTGTGCGCGCGCGCGCGTGGGGAAGGGGCGGGTTCGCTCCCCGACGCCTGACGTCACTGCCATGGCAACGGCAGCCCCGCCCCTCCCCTCCCTTTTCCTGCCCCCGCCCCCGGTGCACGTTCCGGGGCCTCACGTGCTCACTCACACGCACGCACGCACGCTCGGAGCGCGCGCGCCCAGAGCGCTTGGGTGCGGGGGGTGGGGTGGGGGGGAGATGGGAGGTCATCTGGGCCTCTTCGCTGATTCGCTGAATTTGACCAATCCGGAGAGAAGGAGCTGTGGGCGAGGCGGGCCCGGCTGCCGGAGCGGCGTGAAAAATTTCCCCAGGCGGAACGAAAACCCTTGGAGAGCGACTGAGCATGCCCGGTGGTGGAAGGGGCGCGTTCCCCGGCAGTTCGGGCAGGAGGAGGGGGAGGCGGCCAGTAGTGGAGGGAAGGGCACCCCCGGCCCCAGAGTGGGGGAAATTAAGCCCCAGGAAACCGGGACTGTGTGATGTTAGGGTCAGGCGACTTCGGATTGCAGTCTGGCCTTGCCCCTCTTGCTGTGTGACCTCGGATGTGTTACTTAAACACTCTGAACTGAATGTCTCGAGTAAAATGGGGTCAGTAAAGTCTACCCCTGTAGTTGTGAGGATCAGAAGAGAAGTGGAATAAAGAGTATAGCATAGGGAATGTCGTCAGTGTATGTTGTAATGTTATGTGGTGACAGGTGCTTACTACGCTTACAGCATCATCGCTATGTCATATACCTGAAATTATCATAACACTGTGTGTCAATTATACTTAAAAAAAAGAGAGAAAGTGGAAGACGCCTACCTGACATAGGGTCAACCCTAAATACTTAGCTATTAGTATGGCGCCCACGACCTCCTTATTTTACAAGTGGGGAGATGGGATGTAGAGAGATTAACATTAAATGTTCGATGTCGGGTAGTGGCAGAGACCCAGGCTTCAAGTTCAGTACTCTGTCCTACATGGGCTTCCCTCAGGGAGAGTGGAAAGAACATTCCAGAAAAACCTGTAACGAGCTCCCTTTGTTATCTGTGGATCCCTTCCATCGCCCCACTGACCCCATCCCCATCCCCTAAGAGGTGTAGAACACTGGACATAAGGGCTGGATAGCCTTGGTGCAACTTTTGGAGGTCACTTATTTGGCTTCTCAATTTGCACCTGAACAAGCAGCGGAATGGTGCTATCCTCAGTTCCCTTGGGGCCCCTAAATTTCTTCTAGCGTTTTGGTTAAAGGATAAACACAGTAGCAAGGAGCTCCAGGTCCTCACAACTTCTGGCTCGCTGAGGAAAGATTAACTCCGTTAACTGTCATCCTTCACCCAGCGACCACCGGTGGGCAAGATGCCTGTCCAGCCCCTAAGGAACCTGCGGCCGCAGGGCTGTGTGAGCACCTTACGATTCAGACACACTGGTGACCTCATCCTTCACCAGACTTGTGCTTCTGGCCTTTTCCTCTAACTTAGCTCTTAATCACTTCCTGCCTCATGGCATTTCTTGAATGTTGTAGTATTTCTAACTCTAGATTTGCTGTTGACTTTTTTCATTTTAAGTTTTATTATTGAAGTATAGTTGATATACAGTGTTGTATCAGTGCCCGGTGTACAACAGTGATTGACAATTCTATACGTTACTCAGTGCTCACCATGATAAGTCTAGCCACTACCTGTCACCATACAACATTGTTACCATATTATTGACTATATTCCCTATGCTGTAACTTTTTAAAAAGTGTATGTCTGTCTCCTTCTGTCTTAAAGCCCCAGACCTCTTAGTAAAGGACATCACCCTGTTCCGTAAACATGCCCTTATGTTTCCCACTTTGTTTGCAGGAATTAATTCACTTGACTCTACCAAGTTCCAACTGAAATGTAGTCTCTTCCAAAAACTCTTGCTGGATCTACTCAGTTGGAATGAATTAGTTCCTGTTCCACAGCAGTTGGTATATACCCTGCTTTGGACACTATTCCTAGTAGACTTTGTGTTCTGTGATTTATGTACAGGTCACATAGAGAAAGCTTCTCTGAACATCTAGATGGGGGTTGGCTGTTCCTATTCCTTGCTCCCAAGGCATCTTATGGTCTAATATTTCACTTATCACCCATTCCTTTAAGGCTTGATTTATTCGCCTTCCCCATCAGACGTGAAACTCTTTAATGGCAGAAATCGTGTCTAGTTCCACTTCGCATTTCCAGTGTCTCCCTTAGTACCACAACACTGCTGAACAACTAGCTATTGAATGGCTGAGTGGGCTCCCTATTTCGTAAAGTTCTTGAGGGCAGACTTTATCTTGTTTATATTTATAACTCAGACCCAAAGATTTTCTGGGAAGTTATGAATTCTCAATAAATCTCGGACTACTCTAAAACACACCAGAAATTACATGGTCGCACTCATGCAATGAAAGAAGGCTTTGGCAGTAGCACAAGATACTGAGCAGAGAAGCAAATCTAGGGGAAGAAGAGGTCATAGCGTCTTCATAACTGCGGCTGTGGGCCTAGAATGAGAGATTTTCAGCTGTTGTTAAGGATAATAGGCAAATTATTCCAACGTGTATCAGTGCAGTTGCTCCCAGGAAAAGGGAAAAATTATGCAAAGAGGAATCATGAAAAAGAGATCAAACATTGTTTGCTTAGTCTGAACTGGTAACATTTGCTCCTTTGTCTAATTTGGCACAATAATCTAAAGCCCAGTGGTGTTCTGTATGTAGCTTTGTTCTCTTCTTGATACGCTATTTAACTCACTACGCGTGTGTTAAATCCTCACCGAGCCCAGTCTTCTTATTCCTGATCGTGTTCGAGGCGCTGCCAAACACCCAGTAGCATGAATCGTTCTCAGTTTATGCCCATCTCCATTCTGTCCATTTGGCATCCCGTGATCTTCCTCCTGAGCGGCGGTGATAGCCACAGAGGTTCCCCAGTGCCTGGGCCACTGCCTTAGTGTGAGTCCTCATCTCTCCCATCTGGACAAAAATGGAACTGGACTTTTCACCTTGTCTTCGGTTCATCCAGCCCCACTTCCGCCGGACCCCAGACTGCAGAGGGACTTTTCCAAAGGGTAGAACATTGAGCACATTCCCCCAATAGCTTAACTGTCTTCCTGGCTCCTCTTTGCCTCTTCAGGAAAGAGACCACCTCTTCGGTGGCTTTTTATAATTCATCCTCAACCAGTTTCTTCTGCCCTGGCTCCCACTACCTCTGCAAAGACACAGATTTTGAAAACTCGCAGCTTCTCATACCTGTCATGTTCTTTGTGCACACATGTTCCCCTACCCAGAATTCTCCGCTCAAGCCCCTCCACTAGGTTAATCTCATCCATGCTTTCTAGGCCTATGAAAACAGTCATGCTAACACCCTGGTGTAGCTCTTCTCATTCAGTGTTGTAAATACACTGTAGGTATTGTCATGTCTTACCTTCTCCACTACAATGTGAGCCACTTGAGGGCCGGGGCCTTGACTTACCTTATGTATGTTACTCTAACACCCACCAGGGTGCCTGACACATAATAGACCCTCAGTAATTTATTGAACCCGGGCTCCTGGGTGGCTCAGTGGGTTAAGTGGCAGACCCATGGTTTGAGCTCAGGTCATGATCTCCCAGTTGCGTGATTGAGCCCTGCTTCAGGTTCTGTGCTCAGTGGGGAGTCTGCTGGAGATTCTTTCTCTCCACCCCTCCCACCGCACACGCGCACTCTCTGTCTCTCAAATAAATAAATAAATAAATAAATATTTAAAAAAATAATTGCTTATTGAACCAATGAATGTATTATAAGCTCCATGAGGGAGAAAGCTATTACATGTCTTTGAGCCTTCACAAAGCCATGCCCGGTATTACACAAATAGTAAGTAAGTACTTAAAATAACAACCAATGAATGAAAGGGTAGTAATGAGGTATTAAAAACCGACCACGAATCAGGGACTAAACTTAATGTTTTCCTTTTATTCCCTCAGTTAATCCCCTAGCAGTCCTATTTAGTAGAATGTTATCTACCTTCTGCAGATAAGAAGCCCAAACTTCAGGAGGGGAAGCCACTGGGCCAAGGTCACTCTATTAGCTGTTGTCCAAGCCAGGATTTGGTGGCCAGTTCATCTAATTTGGAAATAGACCATTCCGGAAGGCATTCATTCTACTGATAGTGATGGGGGTGCCCCTGCTGGGACTTTTCCTTTTCCTTATCTCACCTGTCTTGTCATGACCAAAGCCTCCTACTTTTATCAGAGAAATTGGTACTCCCTTTGCTCCAACAGGAAGAAATGTGACTGCATTACATGCAGAGAATATGCACAAGTCAGCCTAAATGGAGTGGCCATGTTTTTCCTTTTTCTTTGTTTTTCAGACCTATTTTTCCATAATTGAAATACAAACTACTTAGTTTTAGAATACAGATGTTGAGCATGAAAGGGTAAGGTGTTTAAAGTTGGCCTTTGGGATATGAAGGACCCAGCTGAGGCCCTTTTGGAGACATTTGGAAAATGAAAACGTCTTTAAATTAGTAGCATTGTGAGTTCATGAAGAGTTAAGGTGAATCTTGGTATTTAAAAGGCAATCCAGTGGCCCAGTCGGTTAAGCGTCCGGCTCT